TGGTATCGGTCTAGCATGGTAACATGCCGTTAACAGGCCGTAGGACAGAAAAGGCTTAATTCTGTCACAGGCATAACGGGTTGTTAATGGGCCAGAATATAGGATGGGCTAGAAACGGCGCAACGGGTTAACAGGCCAGAAACGGGCCGACTCTTGCCATGGGCCGAATTTGTCCCATTAGGGTAACAGGCCAGTAACAGGCTGACTCTTGCCATGGGCCGAATTTGGCCCATTAGGGGAACAGTCCAGTAACGGGCCGACTCTTGCCATGGGCCGAATTTGGCCCATTAGGGGAACAGGCCAGTAACGGGCCGGAAGTAATCGAGGGCCGAAAAGGAGCCCAAGAACGTATGGACCGTCAATAGGCCGAAAGCTAACACGGGCTGGAAATGGCCCATGTAAATCACGGGCCGTTAACGGGTATAAAGAAAATTACTGTTCATTATGGGCTAGAGTCACCGTGGGCCTGTAAAGGGCCGAAAGATACGAAGGCCTCATATGGGCCGAAAGACGTCGTGGGCCATACATGGGCCGAAAGTGAAATGGGCTGGTGTTATATTCAACGGCCCACATGACATTGTTGGGCCGATTTCCTTTAGGGCCTAACGGGTCATGAGTTAACGGGCCGTAAAATGGGCTATGTGCGAAGAGACCATTAACAGGCTTTTCATGGGCCAGCCCATTAACTTTTGACCAAGTCAAACGGGCCGGCTTTGTAAGCTAAATGGGCTAGTGGTGGGCAGTGGCACGTGTCGACATATCATAGGCGCCTATCTGGCCCACTGACGAGCTGACACGTGTTTCGTCCGGCCAATAAGAATTTTACACGTGGAAATTTCCCATTGGTCGGGGCTGTTAACGGGTTATCGGATCCAAAACCCGACCCGATAGCTTAACGGCGTTCCGTAACGGTGGATGCCACGTGTCGGTCACCCTTGACGAAAGCACTTCTGTGACGCGCGATTTATCATCATGGAAGTGGACACTTCCGTGATGATAATTTTGGTAATGTCATGGAACACTTCTACGACAGCACAGGTATGACTATCTTGATTCTGTCATAAATTTGTCATGGATGTACATGCATGAGAAAAAACGCGACCTACTGTGACAAACACGTATCATCACGGATGTGTATTTTTTTGTAGTGAAGATGCATGAGTGCTCTATGATGCAACTAATACAAGCAATAACCTAGGGTTGTGACATCGGATTTAGTAAGCGAACGCCTCGCACACGCGCATATGAGAGAAACACGCAAACCACACTGCATCGCTCGGCCCTGACCACCCACCGTAACCGGGAACTCCCCAAAATTTTCCTCCCTCTTACTTCTATGATGATTTTTTACGTTATGGATGGCCCAAATAATGTCATGCAGGTGTGTCTCTGGCCTGCCTAGGACGAAGAGCCTATTTCTTGTCATAATTTTTTGTCATGGAAGTAGGAGCCCACCACATCTATGATGATACGTGTTTTTGTCACAATTATCATCATAGAAGTGTCATAACCATGGAATAAAAACTTTTTGTTCGGGCCATAATGTCACGGATGTGTATTTTTTTATAGTGTTGGTGCGAGCACTTGGGACGCGCTGCGCCACCGGAGTCGCCATGGAATGCCTGGCCTTGGCCCAGTTCCCGCTGAACCCAACGCCGCTTGTAAGTCTCCACCAGACGCCGCCGCCAGGGAGGGGGAGGGAAAGCACCACATACTTGGTCGAAGGCTTCGTGCTTGTAGTCTTCTTGGCCACACAGCCAGACCCACCTGAGCACCGCTGCCCAGATGGAGGCAACAACACCGCTTGTTCATCAAGCACACACTCCGCGTCCGTGCCCAGACTGCCCTGCGACTTCAAGTTCGATGCCCTTGTCGCCCCCATTAGCATATCCACCTTGGAAGCCATCTTTGCAGCAGCTCCCAGCTGCATGTTGGAGTCATATTGGTCGAAGGCCGCCCCCAGAGAGAGGTCGTCGGTGGGCTGCTACCGGCCGTGTCTAGGACAACAAGTACCCCAGGCGCGACTTCCATCTTGTTTGAGTCATCTTCCAGGGGGTTCCCAACCTTGATGCCCAGCATGTCCCATTTCTCTGTGTCGATGGAGGTGTCCGGCATGCTGTCCTCTCTTTCCTCATCTTGGCAGTCCATGTCCATGGCCTTGGAGGCTCCACCAGTGCCCCCTGGGCGGTCCTCCTTCCCCTCCCCCTTGCGAGAAGCCGTACCCGAGTTGCCATTGCCAGAATCAGGGTTGGAGCCCCACTTGTCAAAGGCCTTGTGTGGAGGATCAAAAGGCCCAGGTGCCCGAGGCCCGTCCCTTGGGCGCTTGGGCAGGCGCTCGAGCTCGATCTTGATATCGTATCCCTCATGGTTGAACCAAACTTGCACCGTGCCATTGAGCTTCTCAGGAGCCTTGCACGTGAACTTCATCCTCACCGGCCTCAACCGAATGGGGGAAATCTCATCCACCACGATCTGGCATCCGAGCATCTTCAGTCCTTCCATCAGGCGGTAAACACGGTGGTGCTTCTTGGGAATGCCATGGAGTCGGGCCCATGCTTTGGGCATCGCCAAAGGCACGACCTCCTCGTGCACTGTGTCACACATCTTGACCGTAATGTCATTGTTAGACAAGAAAAGCTTGCCACTTGATTTTGCCATGCGAAGCAGATCCGCAGATGGGAAAATAATAGAGAAATCGTTATCCCCAACCTGCAAGATCTGGCAATCCCAGTGCCCAGCCACCATGTGCTTGAGCTCTTGCTTAAGAACGCGCAGGGAGAGCTTGTCAGGCACCGCAGAAAGGATGGCTCCATTGTCCATCTTCAGATCTAGGCCCGCCTCGTCCTCGTCTTCCTCAAACTACATGCAGAAGAAGCCCTTCCCCGGGATGGCGCTGCCCATGATCTACAGCTGGAGTTGGCGGCCGTGGGAGGTACAGTAAGCAGAGGTGTGGCCTTCCTCTTTGCAGAGCACACAAAGTGGGGGGCGTGCATTTGGGATGGAAATGGCCAAGCCTCCCACAATAGAAGCACTCCGAGCCCGTCCCGTCATCGACCGAGATGGGCTCCGCCCCCATGCCCTTGGAAGACGAGGGGAAGGCCACCGCAAGAGGCTCAGCCGAAGAATGGGGCTTCTTGGCCAGTGGATCCCCGACACCACCACTGCAGAAGGGGTCCTTCATGGGCTTGCGCTCCAGCTCCCGGCGGTGCTGCCCTTGCTTCTTCTTGTGCTTCTTCTCTTGTTGTTGCACCCATCAAGGCGGGGGAGGACCCCAATCCGCCTCCTGTCCGACGTGCTCCTGGTACTTGTCGTGCGCGTCCCAACCGTCGCGCCCAGCTTGGCGGCGACACATGTCTTGCTTCGCCTTGTCTCGTAGCTCCCACTCCCGTCGCCGCTCCGCCTCCGGATCTAGCGGCTCCATCGGGTGCTTGGCCGCCTGCGGTCAACCATGGCCATCACCGTCGTGTAGGAGCCCATAAGAGGGGAGGTGGAGGGATTGGGGAGAGAGTGCGGGCAGATAAGGTAAGCCGTCGCACTTCACAGGGGGTGGAAGGAAATCCTAGTGAGGGATCCCAGCACCCCTTGCTTAGCCATAAATACCCTATCCTTTGACTGGGCTGGGTTGTGGGCCCCTGGCCAACCGACACCTCCAGCCCAGTAGACGCACTAAACGTCCTGCCCATAAACGGCGCGAGTGGCCCGGCTGGCCCAGGCCCAGGAGCAGACCCCGCACCAAGCCCGCCGCCTAGCAATGAGGCTCCACCAGGCACAGCAGCAACCTGCCTCGACAGCTCCACCGCGGGCGCCGGCGCCGCGGCCCCCGACACCCGCGCCGGGGAATGCACAGGGAGGGCCGGCCATTCCGGCAGACCGACACCATCGAGAGACGGCATCTGCCCCAACAACCCCGTCACGCCCTCTGCCGACGCCCTAAGCCCCGCCTGCCGAGCCAAAGGCCCACCGCACTGCAACCCCTCTGGCTGCCAGATGCGAGCAGCAGCGGCGCGCGACCCGCCGCCACCCAGGGCAAACCTGCGGCGCCGACCTCCCTAGCCAGCCCTCGGCGATGTAGCCAGTGCGATGAAGTCCCCCACCGTGGGGATCTACGGTGGCGTAGCAACGCCCTGCGGTCGGGGCGCCTCCTCGTCATCTGACAGCTCCCCCGCCAACGCCCAAAAACGGCTGCCCCCGAACCCCGACGCCGCCCCCGGCCCCGTGGCAGGGGCCGCCCGAGGAATGGAGAGACAAATTCTTTGTTTGATCTCTAAGTCCTCATATAACACTTCTTCCAGCGCCAGCGAGCCCCTAGGACCCCGCCACACCTGAGACCACATGCCGACGGCGGCCAGATATGGCGAAACCCGAGAGTCGCCTGCCGCGTCGCCAGCGCAGAGAGCTAATGGTCCACTCATTTCGAGTAGTCGTCCGGTGACAACCTCATAGTCCATGTCGTCGTAGTCGTCAGAGATCGCTGGGACATTGGCATCGGGGGAGGAGCACGCGATCTTCGATGCGAATTCCATGGCGAATCTAGGGCTTTGGGAGTTTGTCACATGTGTGGGAACCGGTAGGGAGCTACATCGACCTTACAGCCTGGGTATGTAGCATGTTTATACCATTGCCACACCACTTGTCGAGATGAATAATTTAAGAACGCAACGAAGTTTCGATAACTGTGATAATGCAGGGACGACTGCGAGCGCTGGTACACGGACGATCGTTTGTGCACGATTTTGAGAGGACAGAGAACTACAGGCGTTTATCACGTATGTTCTGTATGCAGCAGCCATCGATCCAAGCATCGTCCAAAAATCATCTGTCAAACAATCGTGTGCACAGGAATTTCTGACGATCACCATCCCAAATAATGCGAATCTTTACACAAAACACAAACCGATGAACTAGCACGCTAATCTCCAAATGAAACATGAAAAAGATGCAAACCGAAGGAAGTGCGCAAGTCAAGCTTCCTTCACCGACAGCGATTGTATTTGGGGTGATCAATACTTGACGCTACAGCGGTCACCGGAGGTAAGAACGCCGCCGACGCCGCGGCCCTGATCCGGCTTAACCGGTATGGTGAGCGAGCACCACAAATTGGGCTTCTGGCGAATCTTGATGGTGTTGAACCTGTACCTCACCCGCGCGTCCACGGTGACCTCCAAGCTCACCGTCCCCCGACCCATCTCCTTCTCCAGCTCCGCAGCAACGTCGCCGGGGAGGATGCCGCCACTGCTCCCGTCGAACTCCACCTTCACCGTCTCCCAGCTCTTCCTCCGCTGGTAGAACTCGGCCGGGGACGCCGTGGAAGCGCCAGCGCCGGGGCCGCCGAGCGATGCGCCGCGGTAGCTGAGCTCGGCGTCCAGCGTGTCGTAGTAGATGCCGACGCGGAGGCTGGGGTTGTATATGTAGAGGGTGACGGCGAGGCGGTAGGATACGACGGAGGCATTGGTGACGGTGAGGCCGGTGAGCGTGGCGGAGCCGACGGTGGCGCGGATTTGGTGCGGCTGGAAGATGGCCCAGTAGATGAGGATGATGACGGCGATCGGGAAGAGGGCGCCGAGCAAGCCGCCGAAGAACCTGCAACAGCACTTGAGGCTGCCGCAGCAGCAGGACATGGCGATGGCGGGGTGGGTGGGGCTCGATGGGGAGGGGAGGGAGAGGGCGGGTGTCCTGATCGTTCATGCGTTTTATATACAAACTTGCCAGCTTGGAGTTGGAAATGTTTCGCGTACGTGATTGATTCCCTGATAATCACCAATTGACATTGACTAACCAAGTACTAGTACTAGTAGTTGAAGTCCGTTTGTTTATGGGTGGAAGGACATGTCGTTTGGCTCGTCGGAAGCACCGGGGAACAGGCTGTTAAGCCGCGTGTGTCAACGCTTGTCCCCTTTACCCTAGGGAAGACTTGGGCACTTGGATGCCACAAGTCTTTGTGTATGCCTCCAGCGTTGCTGTCAGGCGATGGCACATGGGAGACGAGGCAGCTGGAGCGGCTGGCGAGTTGAACGGGTTTGGAGTTGTGCTAGCAGTAATTTTGAGCAGAAGACTGACCTAGGTCTACCTACAGCAGCGAAGCGCGCAAGCTCGGGGCGGGCGTAGGTTACACGATCCGGTGAGAATGAGATCCTTCAAGTCCAACTGGCAACGGGCGTTGGCCACGCTTTGCAGCGATACCCTACTGACAGAGTCGCAGAGCACGCTTCGCATCGGCAGGGGCGCCCCCGCCCCGACTGAGCCAAACGACATGTCCTTTTCCTTTTCTGTTTCTGTTTCTGTTTCTTTTTTCTTTTCTTTTCTTTTTCCTTTTCCTTTTTCCTTTTCAAGTTTATTTTTTTAATGTACATGTGTTCAAAAAATGTTCGAAATTTTAGAAAATGTTCCTGTTTTTAAATTTTGTTCCAAAATTTTAGAAAATGAGCAGAAATTCATAAAAATAGTTTTCAAAACATATCCGCTTATTCTAAAAAATGGTCATACATTCAAAAAAAGTTTAAAATGTTTGCATTTTCAATTATTGTTTAGAATTTTAAAAATTGTTCAGTTTTTTGAAAAAATGTTCTAGATATGAAAATTTAGTTCACATTTTCAACATAACGTTGAGAACTTAAAGTTGTGCACAATTGCAAAAATTTTTTGATATTTTCAAAATTTGGTCGGAATATAGAAAAATGTTAAAAATCTTCAAAAAGATGTTCGCATTTTGAACAATTGTTCACAAATTATAGAAATATTCAAACAAATGTTTGGATCTATTTCTAGAGTTAATTCTCAAAGATTCATGTTGCCAAGCAATCGCAAACGCTCAACAAGTCGATTAGCTAGCCACACCCAATCCTAGCTGGAGGT